ACCTTAAAAGGGATCCCAATCGGAACCCGATAGAGAAGAGTCATGATTCCGTTAGGCAGGAATGCTATGTCAATCTTTTGCTATGAGGATGACAGTATTTAGAACCCTGGCATGAAGTATTCCCAGACTTCACGTGGTTACCTTAAACACTCGCATGGGCGTTCTGAACTCAGGAGTCTCCTTGTTTTTGCGTGTGCTTAAGGTGGATGCCAGAAATTGAACCCTTCTGCCGGGGATTGAACCTGCTCCTGGGGATTGAAGCCTTCTGCTGGGGATTGAACCCCTTCTGTCAGGGATTGAACTCACTCGCCGGAGCCGTTCTTCACGCTCCAACCCCTCGCGCATAGCCCCCGCCAAATCCAAGGGGGGCGTGTAGGGGGAGGGGACGGGGGAAGATGCATCTGGGCTGGTGCGACTCAGCCACACTCGGGCACGTTCGGAAGCGTTCGGGCGCCAGTGTCGGTCACATTCGGGCAGATCTGGGGAACAGTTTCGGTCACTGGGCCCCCACGAGGCTACGTGAGGGTTAGCGCAGCTGCCCACATCCTCCGAGCTGTTTTTTCAATCCGCGGCCCCAGAGCTCCCGAACCCTTCCTCGGGGCACTTGCGTCCCAAATACGTGTTTGACTGTCCCAGGACCCGATCTCGGCCCTCTGAGGCAGCAGCAAAGGGAAACGCCGGGATTGAGTCAGTCATTGATGACATGACTTCTGGGAGGTGAGCTTCGGCATCGGCGCTGGTACGTCCGCGGTTGAAAGCTGGCCGAATCCGGCGTAGTCCCGCTCAATCGGGCCCGGCTTGCTCGGGTTCAATCCCGCCTAGTCCAGTTTGATATTGGGTTCAATCCGACTTAATGTTCCCTTCATCGGGCTTCGTATCATTGTTAGCCAAAACCTCCCAGGCGCTCCTTCTCAAAATCATTTCGACGGAGGCCTGGGTCCCGCCGGCGACCTGTGTGTGTACTGTGCCGCGTTTGGCCATGGCGTCGTCGATCCTCGACCCGCAAATAGTGCTGTGCATCAGCTGTGGGCCCTCAGAGCCGACACAACTCTGCCCCCCTGTACCGCATTAGGGCGGGACCTGAAGGGAGTCCAAACATGGTTCGGTGCATGTCAGTAGGGAGAACAATCACAGACACAAGTCATCGTCGATTCCCCCGGATATCTGGGAAAACGTGGGAAGTGGGGGGGGGGAGACGAACCTTGGGGAATCCTGGGATCTGTGTGGGGATCCTGGGATCTGTGTGGGGATCCCGGGGATGCGAAAAGCAGGGCTGGACCTAAACGGTGTTTTGGCGATTTCGTAGGCCGTTTTCGTTTCGACTTCGTTTTGCGGTAAAAAGGATTGAAGACAGAACGAGGGAAAACGAAGACAGAACGAAAACGAAGACAACACTGTTTAGCTTCAGCCCTGCCGACAAGTATGGCAGAATATGGGGTATCCTGGGATCTGTGCGTATTGATTTGCGTGCCCGAGGGGCCCCCTCGAGAGAGCCTGGGGTGCCGTCGTCGCCCGGGCGTGCAGCCGGCGGAGCGCCCGCAGGCGAGGCCGCCCGGCGAGCGCCGGGGCGCCGGCGAGCGGCCGGGCCCCTACGGCGCCCCCGCCCGGGAGGCGCCGGGCCGGCACGCGCCCGGCGCGGACCTGAGCTGGTGGGCCTCGTTGTCCACCACCAGCACCAGAAGTTGGAGGAGGGGGAGGAGGAGGAGGGGGAGGAGGAGGAGGAGGAGGAGGAGGAGGATGAGTGAGTATGTAGGAGTAGGCGGAGGTGGGAGGAGGGGGAGGAGGATGAGGGAGGAGGAGGAGAGGAGGAAGGAGGAGGAGGAGGAGGAGGTTGCGGAGGTGGAGGAAGGAGGGAGGAGGAGGGTGAGGAGGCGGAGGGAGGAGGGGTAGAGGAGGGTGGAGGAGGAGGGGGAGGAGGAGGAGGAGGAGGAGGAGGAGGAGGAGGAGGACCCCCTCCCCCTCCAGCTTATGGTGGTGGTGGTGGTGGAAAACAGGCCCATCATAAGCAACCTGTACGTGCGGGGGCTGCCGAGCCACGCGGACGAGCTGTTCCTTTATCGAAGGCGCCTTCGGCGAAGCACCGAACCCCCCCTCGTGAGGCCTCGGGCTCATTTCGGTGCACCCGTCACGCGTTTCGTGGCTCCACGAGGTGTCCCCACCTGAAGCAACGCGAGTTATTTCGGATGATTCGGGGCCATTTTGGAGCACCCCTCGCACGTTTCGCTGCCGCTCGAGGGTCTCCATAGGGGCGCCTCGCGCCCATGTCGGAGCACCCCTCGCACATTCCGTGGGCTGCCCTGGGGGTGTTCCATGGCCGTCTTGGGGTGCTCCAGGACCGTCTTGGAGGCCATCTTGGGCGTCTTCGAGGCTTCTTGGGCCGTCGTGGGGCCCTCTTGGGCCCCTCTCGGGGGGCCTCTTGGGCCGTTTGGGGCAATCCTAGGCCCTCTGGGGTGATTTTGGTGTGATCTTCGAGGGCTCTTCGGCCGTCTCGGGGCGGCGGTAGGCCGAAAAGAAGCAAATGCCAACATCCTTCAAAAACCTATGGCACATCAGTGATTTGGGCCTCTTAGGGCCTTCCTGGGGGCCCTCTTTGAGGCCTTTTGGGCCGTCTCGGGCCATCTTAGGGCAATATTCGGCCGTATTGGTGGGTTCCTGGCCCGCCTGACGCCGTCGGGAGCCGTTTTGGGTGCCTCTCTGGGCGGACTTGGAGTCTTCTTGGGGTGTTCCTGGGCTGTCTTGGAGGCAATGTTGGGCGTCTTGGAGGGCCCTCTTGGGGCCATTTTGATCCCCCTTGGGCCATTCTGGAGCCATCTTGGAGGCCTCCTGGGCGATCTTGGGGCGATTTATGTGAGCGCTTGGGCGGTCTCGGGCCGTCGAAAGGCCGAACACAAGAAATGTGTAGATATTGTTTGATATTTCAGCGGCCTCCTTCAGACCCGAGGTCCCTGGGAGCCCCACCAGCTGCTGCCGCTCCGCTGGTGTTCAGGCTCAGAGAGTTTCGAGCGCGGAGGCCCGCCCGCGCTCCCGAGGAGGAGAAAACATGGTAGCGGAGCCGTGAGCTACTCCACGAGAGTGGTCCACGGCTCGGCTCTGCTGTGGCAGCAAGGCGTTGGCCGCGGGCTGGGCCCGCGGTGGTGATCGACCACGACGAAGGCCTGAGGGTGGACAGCTCCGCCAGGACAGGTCTCGCGATGGCGAGTACGACTACGCAGAATGGGACGTATCAGATTTGGTCGCTGAAGGACATCAGAAGCCATGAGAGCTTCAATGGCGGCCAGGATGAGTTTGAGAGTTTCTTTTTCACCTTGGAGGCAGAGGTGACTGAGTCGGGGTGGAAGTCACTCTATGAGGCTGCGGTGGGCCACGCGGGTCCGATAACTGCAGCAGACATCCACAACGCGGAGACGCTGGAGCTGAGCAGGAACTTGAGCACGTTCCTGGCGATGAAGATGCGCGTGAAAGCGCAGGCGATGACTAAGTTGGCTGGCGCTGGCAATGGGTTCGAGGCTCTTCGGCAGATCTATGCTGACTACCGCCCGAGTGGCGGCACTTCGGAGCACAGCCTGCTGACGACGATCGTGCAGCCGAAGTGGTGGACGAGTGATGATCACTCGAGGCGAAGCTTCGCGGAGGTGCTGCGCGACTGGGATCATCTCGTCACTCAGTATGAGTTGGCGAGCCACGACACCATCAGCGACAGGCTCAAGTGCGCGACCATATTGGACTACGCGCCGCTGCCGATGAGGAAGGTGCTCGACGGAGCCAGCCAGGAGGTCAGAGAGAACTATGCGGTGATGCGGACAAGGATTCGCGAGCACTGCATGGGGAGAAACGCCGGGGCTTTCGTCCCCAGGCCACCTGTGGCGGGAGGAGGAGGCCAGGCGCCGATGCAGGTGGACGCGGTCGGCCAGGTCGACGCGATCGGGTTCGACAAGCCGCGCTGCAACCTCTGCAAGAAGCTCGGCCTCAGTGCCGACAAGTGCTGGTTCAAGGGCAAAGGTGGCGCCAAGGGCGACTCCAAGGGTGGCAAAGGTGATGGCGGCAAGGGTGGATCGAAGGGCGGACGCGGTGGCGACGCGCCGTCGAGTGACCAGGATAAGACATGCCACTACTGCAAGAAGAAAGGCCACATCAAGACCAACTGCTTCAAGTTCAAGAAAGACCAGGCGGACAGAGAGAAGGGCACTGTCAGCATTGTCGAGAAGGAGGCCGCCGAAGTCAATGTGATGGTCGTGCCCGGCGAAGACTCTGACGAGTGCGGCTTCTGCATGGCGCTGGAGAGCAACTACGTCGACCACGACTCGGACGGGCACCAGGTGGACATCGTCGACCACGACTCAGACGGGCACCAGGTGGACTTACGTCGACCACGAGTCGAACGGGCACCAGGTGGGCTACGACGGCTACGAGAGCTTCGGAGACCAGCTGGAGGACGAGTTCGCGCGCCACGCCTGCGGCGACGCGATCATCATGGCCATCGGCGACGGGGCCAAGCTCAAGGAGTACGACGTTGACAACTTTCTGATGCTGGATGGCGGCGCTGACGAGCACTGCGCACGACGAAGCTTTGCGAGACATATCGCAGTGGAGCCTACATCGACCAAGCTGATCGCCGCCCAGAAGCAGAAGATCTCTCTTGATGGTGAGGCCATGGTTCCCTTCACGATGGGGGGTCGAGTTGTTTGCAAGGCCAACTTCAAGGTCGGGCCCTTCGCTCGGAATCTACTCAGCACTGGCAGAGTCTATGATGCAGGTTTTCACGTGGTCTACTCGCACACCGACGGGTGCTACGCTGGTTACTCCAAGCCTGACGGGAGGTATGTCAAGATCCCGATGGCGCGGAGAAAGAACACGTTCGGGGTCCCTGCCAGCGTGCGCAAGGAACTCGAGGACGCCAGAGATGTGGTCAAGGAGACCAAGCGGTTGCTAGGCCGCTATCCCGACCAGCAGTCGGGCATCGTCGCCGCCAACGAGGACGCGGTGATGAAGGACGAGGGGGCCGTCCAGGCTGATGAAGCTGCAGCGCCTGTGCCTATGGCAGAGGGTACTGGGTCGGCTTCGTCGGGGTCTGGAGGTGGTGCCCCCACCTCAGCCCCACCGGCGGCGGCCAGTCCACGTGGGGACCAGCCAGGGCCAGGGGCGGCCCCCCGCCCTAAGGGGGGCCCTGAGGGAGCAGAGCTCGGGCCAGGTTCTCGAGTTGACCTGCTCCGACAGCGCTTGAAGGAGCTCGGGGCCGCGATCTACGGCACGAAGGAGCAGCTGTTGACGAGGCTCAAGCATGCTGAGCTCAAGCACAAGCAGGACTTGGACTTCAAGAAGGCGGCCGAGGAGCGTTACCAACAGCAAGTGGACGGCCAGCCTGTGACAGAGGCCAAGGTCGTCGAGGCTCCCTGCGCTCCAACGAGGTTGAGAAGGAGCAACACGAGGCTGCTGGTCACGCGGTGTTCAAGAAGTGGTGCCCTGCGTGCGCGTTCGGACTGGGGCCTGAGGGCCCGCGCGTCCAGCAGCCCGTGTACGGCAGCAGGGCTGATTTTCTTCGAGTGGGCCTTCAACGGCACTGAGGACACGGACAATCTCTGCGACGAGGTCGACAAGGGTCTCGGGACACCTTGTGGCTGCAGACCGCAGCATTGGTCTGCTCTACGGCAACGCGCTGGGGAGCAAGGCCGCAGACGATCACACCGTGAAGCAGCTCATGAGGTTCATGAAGCAGCTCGCGTACCAGAAGCCAGAGCTCAGGTGCGACACTGAGCCTGCGGTGAAGGCCCTCCAGGATAAGATCGTGAATGCGAGAAACGAGGAGAACCTGGAGACCAGAGTTTCTCAGGGTCGCACGCGGGGCAGCAAGTCGATGGGCTTCATCGAGACGCGGATCCGCTGGTGGCGGGGCCGCTTGAAGGCCAATAGGGTGCAGGTGGGGATGAACTACGGTATCAAGCTCACGCCGCACTCCCCGCTCTGGCCGTTCCTCGCCCACCACGCTGCAAACGTGACGAACTGGTACTCGCGAGGTGCGGACGGCTACGCGGCTCACTTCGCGGTCTACGGCGTGAGCTACACTGGGGCAGTGGTTCCCTTTGCTGAGACGGTGATGGCAGGGGTTCCAGTCAGCAAGACGGGCCAGCGACGTTCGATGGGAGGTTTGGTTCCCAGGCTGACCAAGGCGGACACTGCCTGGGTCAAGGGGGTCTGGGTCGGCAAGGCGACCAACGACAAGGATCTCTTCCTGAAGGTCTGCGGCGAGCCCTGGAGGGAGAAGGTCGCGCACATGCCTTGGCCCCTCGTCATGGACGGCGGCAGGGGCGAGGTCGCGCCGACGCCGCTGGAGGCCGTGGGCACGGAGGCCGAGGGGGCAGCTCCAGGGGCTCCCCCGTCTGGGGCAGAGGGCCAGGAGGGCCCAGCCCGTCCTGGCCCCGAGGGTCCTGAGTCGGGGACGAACCCTCGTGACCCCCAGGCCTCAGCTGAGCACCCACCAGACCCTCGCCCTCAGGCCCCGGAGGCCCAGGCTCCAGAGGCCCCGCCGAGACCTGGCGGAGAGGCGGAAAGCTCTGCAGGAGCTGGCGGAAGCCCGGGGGGTGGACCAAGAGGCCCTGAGGTGGCTGGTGCCAGTGGTGAGCCAGACGCCCCGATGCCTGCGGCTACGAGCTCCTCGGGTACGGCAACCAGAGCGAGATCACCGAATAACGATGCCGTCCTGGGGCGGCACGAGGCCAAGAGGGGGCGCTACGAGGACCCGATCGCCGGGGCCATCGAGGACATCAGCGAGACGCTGGACTACAAGGCCCTCCTGACGGCCAAGGAGCTCACGCACTGGGACAGCAGCGGCTTCCCCCAGGAGGAGGCGGCTGAGGCGCTCGACAAGGGCTTGAAGCTCTGCGATTAGTTCGGCATCTACTCAGTTCATCCTCGAGCGGCCTCCGGCGGCAAGAAGAAGGTTGATACCAAGTGGGAGAAGAAGGACCGAGCTGGGGTTCTTAAGTACAGGTTGGTGGGCAGGGAGTTTGCCTGGCTCGAGGAGCGTGATGATATTTTCGCTCCTGGGTCGACGTCCCTGACCAGCCGC